AGTATTTAGTCTCGTTCTCCCCGCTTTCGGCTGCTTTGAGCGCTCTGTGTAGTTCTGCTGCTTTTAGAGCTGGCCCTACTTGGGGCTCTGCTAGATTCGCTGCTGCTTATCTGCTCCAGGTTTATAGGCATATCTAAGACCCTAGGGCCCCCGCGATATATCGGTGTTGGTGATGGTGGTGATGGTGGTGGCACGTCGTTTAGGGGTGCCCACCTCGACGCGCTCGGTAGACCACCACTATGGGGGTTTGGGACCTCCATAGCGGTTCCTGGGGCCTCAGGGGGCCTTTCTCGATCGATTGACGCGTTAAAATGACGTGTTTAGATTGAGTGTTGATTTTGATGTTCCGAGCCCCGCTATTCTTACTATATACCTGATGTTGTCAGGGGAAGGAGAGCACCACAGGAGCTAATTTGCCGCTGAGATATCTTTGAATACCTTCATCGTTGCTCTACATTGGGCAATTGTCCGATCACGCTCCACTACTATCTCAGAAAGGGCGAACACTAATGAATCAATACGTTGTCGTCTGTGCCTATACCAACTCAATACTTTAGAAGTATAGTATCCCTGTTGATCCAAGAGATACTAGGTGGATAGAAATGAACGATCAAACGGGTGACCTCACCCTGCCTGCAATATCTGCCCGACGAACTTGTTCTGCGTTGTCGGGGAATTGCCGAGGTGGGTAAGTCTGATCTCTAGGCATCCTTCATAACGCTATTACCATATATCGTCAACTAAAAGGTATGATTTGCTCAAGTGGATATCCGTTGGTCCCACAGAATTCCTTGTTACCCGTCATGGATTAAACCGATTTCCATGTTGTGTGATCACAACCCTGTGTCGAAGGATACTGACGCCTGTTACTCTACATATATTAACGGTCAGTTGGTCTGGGGGGAAGAAGGGATATCTACAAGAATCCTAGCCCAAATATAGACGAGAATATAGTCATTCGTTGATAAGCTTACAGAAAGACCAGCTATCTTATGTAGTGGAAGCCCAATAAATGCTAGATTAAATGTAAGATTGGTTATCGCATTCAAGATGCCAAAGGTATTGAAATTGAGAAACGATCCTTCTGTTTCCCCGTACTATTTCGTCCAGATATACGATGCTGGGAGACAGTTAAACGCGGTGCCGAAGGAATAGGTCAGAAGGTACAGGGTTGTGGAAGTTCACGCTAATTGGGTGAATTGAAAGGAAGTGCAGCGTTCAACGAAGTGTACACATTGACTTATAATCAAGTTTTTTTAAACCACAAAACCTAGGTAAGAGGGGACTACTCCGCCACTATATCTGAATTTGATCTCTCCTCATACTAATGGAAAGCCTTCAGACGCCATCTTCGGAACCATTTAGGTGCTTTTGTGCCGTCGTACATGATGGCAAAACCAGCGTCTCCACGTTTTATTCGAATCACCTTGACTGGAGTCTTTTAAGTATTGGCTTATGGACGAGTAAAAAAGTTGAAAGCTGCTCATAGTGGAATGTCCCACATATCCTCATAGTCATAGTATATTTCTAGAATGCTACTCGCAGTGATATCTGGTGGTTGAATATTGCATGGTACAAAGCGTTTGATTGAGATCGCTTTGTCTAACCTAAGTGTGGAAAATAGTACTTTACTGCGGGTTTTAGAAAGGCTGTATTATTGGAGCCTGATATTAAAACTCGGCCACAAGAACTGTGGGCATGGCTAAGCAGCAGTGCGATCAAAGTCCTCGAGCCCCCAGAGAATGATTTTGTAGCACTCTATTACACCTCCTCTCGTCTCTTCGGAGAAAATCTCTAGCGTGTCCAAGAAGTGCTTGACACTGCCGCGCCAATCTGTTGGCAACCATATATAGCACGCGCCATTTAATGCAGGAAACATGTGGCTCCGAGCGGCTCCAATCAAAATCATCGCGTTAGCAGTAAAATAGCGGATCCCTGTCCACATCCCGTGATCAAGCCTTGTCAGGTTACCAACAGACTGTAGACTCCACACACAATACTGCAAGCCCAGAGAAGCTATACGAGCTACCTCGGTCTTCAACTGCTCAGAGAGATTCAGAGTATAATTTAGGCATATTCGCAGGAAAGGGCGACATAGGATCTCACAAATGAGCAGGTATCGAGCACGCAGGATATTTTTAAACCAGTCTACCTCTGGCGTGATAGGTGAATTTGGTGGGTCAAACGAGATCTCTTGTGGAAGAGACTTATACCAGTCTTCAACGTGTGAGCTAAGGATCTTGTAATCCCGGAGTAAGGCTCGGACTTCGGTTTCGTTGGGGGGTCCTCTTAGTTTGTGCCTGGCATTTACTATGCGGTTGATGAGGTGACGGGCTGCTATATCCGCAAGATAGTAATACCAGGTGATGGTCTTGGTACTTTGGACTTCAAGTGGAGTGTCGCTAATCTCTGGCGGTGAGGGAAAGATGAGTTGATCCTCAATATATTCTAGAACAGAGCCGGGGATTTCCAGCTCATAGCGAATTTCTCTATAATATGTGGGTGAGAGTAGGTCGCACTTTCGGGCATTGAATACCTACAATTCAGACTTGTATGCGGTGTGAAAAATGGCATGAGCCGTAGCCTGTGACACCAGCTCCAGGGACCAAGGGTCTGAAGATCCCATGGACTTCCTTGCAAGTACGGCTGAATAGAAACAGTTCCCAGCCATTGTAAAGTGCTTCCACGCGTCAAGTGGCTGGAGGTTACACATAAACCAAATACTTCGATATTGAATAATTAGCGAATTATGCTTAAAAAGCATGTTAGATTCACCATACCCTGCTAGACACAAACATTGCGCTGACTCAAGGGTGTTCTTGCTCATGGCGCACCCAAGCCGTTTCGCCGCAACGCTCCAGAATCGGTATGCTATATCCAGATCACTGCTGCGACCAGGTACAGGAAGATTACCAGGTGTCTCAAGCATATTTTCCTGACACAGCGCACCAATCGCGCAGACAAGCATAACAAGACAGGTACGCGTTGAAAAGTCAAGCCCATTTTCGGATACATGGGTCATATAGCGATAGAGCGTGACCATATCGAGCATGGGGTTCTTATCGTGAACCACACGACGATAGTTTACCAGCAGTCTGTTGAGCTCTACCATGGCGATTGGGGGTAGCTCATCCGGCATTGGGATAGGCTTTCCGTTGTCCACAGGGATCTTGCCGATTTCCGAGGGGAATACATGCCATCTGACAACGCTATCCAACCCTTCCGAGGAGATATATTGATAGGGCGAAGATACGTTAGACAGCTGGTTAGTCCAACGATCTATAGCGAGTCGAGGGCTAGAACTGGGTCCTTGCGACAAAGCAAGGGGGGCGAAAGCTCCCGTGGGGCCCGACTGCATTGTCTCCTGATGAACATTGGTCTTAACCAGTTCGGTCAGTTGCTCAATGGCCTGAAGGATCCGAGAACCCACGTCATAGCTTCTGTCATCGGCGACCGGACTTCATGAGTGAGGCGGAAACCGGGGTGGGAACCCAGGGGTTAACGTACAAGACCGTGGTTGCGGCGTCAACAACATCATACTGGCAGTCGGAGCGGGTTCGATGGCAATATCCACACACCGGTCGACGACCATCACATTTTGTCTTCCTCGAGCGGCAGACGGCACATGCTATGGCAGCACGGGTCCGCTGGCGTTGTCCTTGAGTCGCGGCCGTGGTCTTGGCCGTCTCAGTGCACAGCCCCTTGCTTGGTCGTTGCTCCCCGGAATCTGCACGTGTCGGGTCCATTAGGAGCATTTGCCAGCTCGTCCAGCATAGAATGTAAAGAATGTATGCGTGGTCAGAAAGTTCGGCTTAGCCAGGTCGGCTCTTACGCGATGGGCGTGGGTCACGTCACTGATTATTGGTATTAGTCATCTATGCTGACTCACGAAAGGGCCGGCTTTTCCGCGATATTTCCGATACATGGAACACCGAGTTACGTTTGTTCCGGAGGAGCCGTCACTGGGGGTGCACGGGGTGTATAGATCACTTGCCGGGAAATGTTTCTACATTACTGATTGAAACAGATATCGAATTGACTAGGATGATGGTACGGAAATTAAAGCGGATTGGACACTGTAGGAGTTCAAATAACAGTGCATATACTTGACGTTTTTTTAAGTACGAATGGATGAATCGATAGCCGCCAACGTAGCCCCATCCAAGTCCTCTTCAGGCAAACCAAGAAGCTTATTGACATCCTCATAGGTACCGTCACCATTGGGATAAAACGCCCGGGCGAATAGGGATTTGCCGAAGCCTTCCAGTTTTCCTTCCGCAATAAGTCTCATGCCCTCCTTGTACCTTTCCTCAGTGGACTCATATGTGATGCGCCACTCCGAATCTCGAGTTTTGGTCACTCTTTTCAAACTTTCCAATACATCTCTCTGGCTGAGGTGAAAGCTAGATACATATACTGGGCCATTCGCAAACTGCGAGAGAGTCACAGAGACATCATCTTCATCAGCAGGAAACTTCTTGAGACTGAGGAGCGCTGCTACCGCCCGAGCGATCTGCGGTAGTGTAGAGAAATTGACGGCCGTTGTACCGTCATCGTAAAATGTTGCCGTGCGCGTCTTCAGGTCAAATCCAAGGAGCTCAGGACCAACCGTGAGACTGTATTCGTACCAAGGCCCGGTGAAAAACGCGAACCAGGTCAGCCCAGTCTCTTCTGCGTGACGAATATTGCTAACGATTTTCTCTCCAACTGGAAGATCCTTGCGAAGACCTTCTTTGCCATAAACATCCACACCATAAGCATTTGCGATAACATAAGTCACCCCTGCCTCTGCAGCTGCCCGGACCAATTTGCTGTGCGTATCTGTGGGAGCGCTCAGAGACAGAGTGATGATCAGAAATTCTTTGCCCTTCAGCGCTGAAACGAGGGAGGTCTCGTCGTTGTAGTCCACCACTGCAGCTGTGACACCTTGTGGAATCTCGTTGGTGCTGCCTTGACGCGTGATAGCCGTAACATCATGCTTGCCGGTTTTCACTAAAGCTTCCGCGATGAGCTTGCCGATTTGTCCCCCGGCCTGTGAGAGGAACATCAACTTTATAGCTTAGAAAACCAAGTCGAAATACTTACGCCGACAATGGCTACGGCCTTCACGTAGTTTGAAGACCCCTGGGGAAGGTTCTTGGCGTAGAGCAGAGACATGATGAGTATTGAAAGATAGGTACTTCGATACGTTGAAGGATCATCGGAACGAGAAGCCAGGTGTAGATATAGCCCTGTTTAGAATCTTCCAGTCCAGTGTCTTGAACATTCATCAGCATTGACTTTGATTTATAAGCTTGCGCTCTCGGTCTTCCTTTACTCTTAACTCCGTGTAGAGTTCCTATCCCACGGTGGATACGCAAATGGCTACAGTCAGGTCATCACTTCACACGGTTTTAAGGTTTGGACTCCACCATCAGAATAGGTATGGCTTCGTAGGCTAAGAACTATACCTTGACCCACATAGATCAACTATAGCAGTTCCCACCAATGATGGACGTCATGACATAGCTTGGGCAAATTATCGTGACCCGGCATCGGGGAATATCCGCGACGCACACGTCATGCATAATTGTATGAGTTTGTCAGCTCCCTTGGTTTTTGTATCAGTTTCATCCGAATCTTGACTAATCGTCGCTCAGGTACAATTATGGAATAAATAAACATATATATAATCGGCTCCGTTCCTTTTTTGCCTTTCGGGTCCTTCTATTGATGAAACTAGTATCTTGGTACATTTTCCTCTCATTCAACTGCTGCAAGATCGCAGAAGCCTTCCCTGACAAGTCCCAGGATGATTTCGAACAATACAGAGTCTGCGTACCGACAGCTCGGCAACAGTGGGCTCAGAGTTTCTGTACCCATTTTGGGATGCATGAGCATTGGTGACAAAAAGTCGATGCCCTGGACGCTCGACGAGGAAGACGTACGAACTGCTCTTACCGCCATTTGACATTATATTCGCTAACCGCATAATAGGCCCTCCCTTTATTGAAAGCCGCCTATGATAGAGGGATTAACACCTGGGATACTGCCAATGTCTACAGCAATGGCTCCTCAGAGATCATCATTGGCAAAGCTCTCCAGCATTATCAAATCCCACGGGAAAAAGTCGTTATCCTAACCAAGTGTTTTTGGGGTGTGAGTGAGGAGCCGGGTATGACCATTTCTGCCCATGATCTCCGTTGGATTTGTTTGCTGAACCAGGAAAGAGATCCTGCACTGGTATAATCGGGATCACATAGAAGGCACTCCGAAATACCAGAACCAATACGGCCTCTCACGCGCAGCGATATTTAACCAAGTCGAGGCCTCGCTTCATCGTCTAGGCACTTCATACATTGATCTTTTACAGATCCACCGCTTCGACACGACTACCCCCATTGAAGAAACCATGAAAGCACTCCATGATCTCGTACAATCAGGAAAAGTTCGCTATGTTGGCGCAAGCAGCATGTACGCCACGCAATTTGCACAGATGCAGTTCTGTGCTGAACGCAATGGTTGGACGAAATTCATCAGCATGCAGAGCCAGTACAGCATGCTTTACCGGGAGGATGAGCGTGAGATGATCCGCTTCTGCAAGGACACGGGCGTTGGTCTTATACCATGGGCTCCATTGTTCCGGGGCCATCTGGCCAGACCATTAGAAGCCAATCGGTCTACAGCGAGGAGTAAGTTGGCTGATGAATCGTTGTCGGAGGTGGATGTACAGATCATCAAACGGGTGCAGGAAATTGCGGACAATCATGGTTGGGTTATGGCCCATGTCGCTCTGGCTTGGATCCTGAAGCGGGTGTCAAGCCCTATTATTGGATTTAATTCGGTGAAAAGAATCGATGAAGCAGTGAGTGTGCGGGGTAAGGTATTAACAGAGGAGGAGGAGAGGTACCTTGGGGAGCTTTACAAGGCGAAGGAGTTTATTGTTCCAGAAACGCTGTAAAGGAGGGGTGTGCTCTATCTTGCCGGAGCGAGTGTGGATAACAAAAAAAA